CATGTTTGAGCCCTTGCCTCGCAGCGCTGCCAGTTCTGTTAGCTCTACGCCTGCTGAAGACACAGACGTCCATCCCTGTGAACACTGGGATCATGGAACTCAATGGTAAAGTAAATTATTCCGATTTCAACCGTTGCGTATATTAGCTGCGACATATGAATCAAGATGCTATGACTGAAAACATTGGATTGACAGATGACCTTTGATATATGATTGGCCGAATTTAGGTGTATGAGCTGATGTATAACTAACTGGCCTGCATAAGATAACGAAAATAAAAATAAAAATATTTTAAGATAGGATTTTTTTTTTTAAATAGAAATTTAAATAGAAATTTTCTAAATTTTGAGACTATATGGTCTGATAAACAGTACATTTATATACATGTTTAAGCCAGAATGATTTGACGTTTAAATATGACTTCCCTACGACTTTAAAGAATCATAACTGCAGTGAGATATAAATAAATTGCTGATAAATAGTAGTAATCGGTTCGGAGAGGATTATAATTTTAATTCCAACATCATGATAAAATCTCATTATGTCCTTGGGCTTTAGAGCATGTCATTGTTTTACTCTTTTAAACCGTTTTGTTGTTTTTATAGAATTTTATAACCTTGATATGTACAGCTCCCTGTGGCAGCAGGGGTCTAGAAGTGGAGAACCCTCTTTGCTCATTAAACAAAATCATTGTCACCCTAAAAGATGCCGTCATCTGAATACAGTTAATGAAGGTAATAGAGATGGGAACTTGGTACTACTTTGCTTTACTGGGCATCAGACTCCATCTTGTATATTTTAAAGCTGTGGTTCTAAAAACCTTAAACCCTTTCTTCAGGCTTTGCCTCAAACAGAGAAGATGAAGGATGTTGTTAAGGGGATATATGGATGGATATGTTCAGTAATGCAGGAGCAGTACAGCCAGAGGTGAGCTCTGGTACTGCCGCCTCCATTCATGCTGTGACCCTTGGTGACGCATGTTAGCTTAACCAACCAGAGCAGCTGAAAGAGCTAAACGGGCAGATTCATGCTCATAGATGCCATGAGGTTTAATTAATTATCACAACGTCAGCTTTTTTTGTACATTTTACTAAACTGGACTAATCAGCTAAAGCTTTGCATCATATCAGAGATGTTTATATACTTATTTATTAATGTAATAAAATCAATCAAAAGTCAGTTTATTTTTCTAGCGCCTGTATGGCCTCTCCCTTCTCTCATTCATTTCTTTATATTGGAGGTGTTTTAAGGTGCAGTCATGGACAACCTGTTATTTACCAAATCCAGTCAGAGCATAACGTCCTTAATGTGTCCTGAAGGCAGAAGAGGCAAGAAGGCTGTTCAGGTGAATCATAACATGTTCATCAGACAGGTGGGGGAGTGTCAGCCCTCTGGCCACAAAGTTTGCTGAACTCTTTCAGAGTCAGCTGTGTGTCCTGACCTGCCTTGACTCCTCGCAGGGAAGGAAAGTGGAGAGGAGCAAAAGGCAGCAGTTTGGAAAGGCAGAACCAGAGCAGAGGTGACTGAGGAGACCGCAGCTTTAATTAAAGGGACGCCAAGAATTCATGTCAACACTGACATTTATTTCTGTTCCTAGTAAGGAGCGATTCAAGCCGCAGATCTTCTCATTTGCTGCTTTTTAAGCAGCTTTTGTAAACCTTCCAGGTTTGATAAATGTCCTCTGAAGGAACCACTGGTGGATTCTGTAGGGAGCAGGTTTAGCTTCTCACTATCTAACAGGACATTTAGCCTCAAAACATGTTTATTTGGCATTTTAAAAGGAGCCCACAGACTAGTAAGGATCCTCTTAAACTAAACTCAGACAGCCACACCCTAACCCCCCCACTCCACACTGTAGCAGCAGGATTTGATGTTTTTTGTGTCGTGTTTGATGCTCTTGGGGCGGGGTACCTGTAGATGACTCGAGCAGCGTCCGGCAGGTTCGGGGGGGATTCTGATTTCATCTGGGGACATGTTCCTCACTTTCTCTGAAAAAAGCGCTGAAAAAGACAAACAAAAGGTGAAACCTCCAACATTTCAGCTTGTTTTCACATGCAGGAGCATTAACCAGGTAACCAGTCTCAGAAAGGGGGTGAAACAAAAAGGGAAGGTGGTAATACGGAGTGGATGTGGGATAAACTATCAGCAGAGGGGGATTTACAGCACGGTGTGGTATGATGAGCGCACAGCCCTGCCAAGGAGGGGCTGCTGTTGGGGCTTGTTTGGGAAAAGGGAGGCTCCTCTCCCTCCTTTTGGACCTGTCCCTTGTTTTGCTTTTCTGGCATTTTTCAGTGTCACCACATCTCAATCACATGGAGCCTTTACTCAGCCCCATCAGGCACCATGCAGATGTGCTTTAGGTGAGTGTCGGCCTGTAAAAGCAGAAGTCTGCGGTTGCTGACATTCGCTGAGGAACAGAGACAGGCTAAAACTTGACTCAACACGAGAAGAACATTTTGAAAGGCAACTTGGTCTCTTGCGAACATTTATCATCGGAAAAGATTGGAGGAAAATTCCACTCAAACACTCAGCTTTCAATTAAATGAAAAGTTGCACTTGAAGCCAATTTTCATAACTTTCCCTTCCTGTAATTTATTGTTACGACCAAACGGCTCAGAAACCCTCAGCCTCCAATATTTGATCTGGGTATGGAGATATAGGCTGCATTTCAACTGGAAAACTTTCCTTTTGTAATTTATTTACCCCTGCTTTGAAGTTCTGCTAATCTTCCACAGCCTCTTTAGGTTTAAAAACCCTTAAGAGTGAAGTAACTTTGCATGTATGTGACTCAGCTCTGGGTTTACATTGGTTTACTTTAAGATGTGGTGGGAAGGAAGGTTAGCGGGGCATCAAAACATAAGAATCAAAGTCAGCCGTCCTCTTCTAGTTATTTTTACTGTATGATTCTAAAATATTTAAATTTTTATGCAAACTGTAAAATCAAACTACCATAAACACTTTAATAAAAGCGTTATTCACAATCTGATTGTTTTTTTTTTTTTCAGAGAAAAAGAACCAATTATACTGTATCTGATTCAATATCGCCATAACGATGGGGGCTACAACAATGCTATCTATGCTGCCGTCTCTTATTTTGACACATAGAGCTAATATCTGATGCTAAATATAAGATTCAGGCGTTTTATATATTAATAAGGATTTTTTTTTTTTTTGGTGAAGCCGTTTTCATTCGCTTCAGTTTCATCAAATGAAAACAAAACATATTCAATGCCTTAATATTAAAGGTTTTGGAACTAAAGTTGAATCAATGTCATTAAAACAGTATTTAAACACATTTATTATAATTAA